CACCTAAATGTGTCCTCACTGGAACACTGTAAGGAGCCACCAGTTTTTGTGGCCAAAACCTATTTCTGTCAGAATAGATGGTCGCATGACCACCATGACGATTACTTCTGACGAATAAACATGCAGTACTACAACTAAGGCTGAAAATGACATATAAAACCCAGCCAAGTTAATATAAACTGGATAAATGTCTAGCCCGCAAGCGGATATAATAGTTACTTTAAGTTTTGTCTTCAATGGGTAAGGATCCGACCAGGATTGGATGCAGATCTGCTCTTCCGCCTTGTGCTGCTAACATAGATATTCTGAGTCCGTAGTCCAGTCACACTAGCTGGATAAGTACTAAAATTTCCTATTCAAATAACCCCAGCCTTCTATTCTGTCCAAACGTACCGTTAATCAATGCACATTACTGAATACCTAGGTCCTTTTGAATTGAGTCTTGTAATCATCAGATTCTGCGAAGTATTGCGTTTGGTGGAACTGTGACAGCCACAGGTAATTTCCTGAGAAATAATACTTGGTCCACTTATCTAGGTATCTAAGGAGGTAAACTTAGTAATGTAAGGAAAATGTGGTATAAGTAACTGAATTCTGTCGTGTACAGATGTAGCAATTGCGATCAGATCAGTAGAACTGCCAAAAAATCTATTAATTATGGTTGCCGCGATGTATCAAATCGATTACAGCGTTAAAATCAGGACTTGCTGTAATCGGATAGTTTGGTTCGCATTATAGGGAATTCTGGATAACGACTGCACTGACGTGATAGAAGTTGGCTCCGTACTCGATTTCAAGATTTAGACGATAGCTTCCATGATATAGTGTCCCAAATCGTGTAGCCGACCAGTGACCCATGACAGTTTTCATGCTCTTCCTTGACATGCAGCTAACGAGCTGTTTTCAGGCCACAGATTACAGATTGTTGTAATGGATAGGTATTGAATGGGCGGCATCTGTTATGTGATTTGAGATTTATATCCTCTTACATTATTATCAGAAGCCCGTTTTAAAACAAGCAAAATATGCCGGCCCCAAGCCTATCCTACGTAAAAATGTGTGCGTTTTCCAAATCTCTTAGATACGGAACTTTACTTACAGTTAATGACGTAAGTTTTCATTATTTTGTCAAACACCCTTTGAGGGATCACTTTTTCAGCTTCCTCCGTAGGTTGGTTACTTAACTCACCATATCGGAACAGTTATACCCCTTATCTGGGAGGTTTTTAGTTTAAGTGACAACAGTTCTCTTATTGTATTTTAGGTTATAACCATCTGTGAACCTAATTCCATAGCATGAACTGAAATTTAACTATTCCAGTAGCTTGTATGAGAGCACTAACTTCCCTCGCTTACTGTTTCTAACCTTCAATATAACATACGTAACGCAGCTAATTTTATCCGGCTTCGAGTGCCTTTATAGTGAGCCAATTTTCCACTGTCAGTTTTAGTTTTTTGACAAACCGAAGGCCATCAAGTATGAATGAGCATTGATCAAGAAATTGGGTTCTCAGACACCAAAATTCTGATTTAGCTTTGTCCTGCGGGGAAGCTTTCGTTGTTCAGTTACTTGGACCGCTCGAACAAATTTAAGCTCGCTTCCGATTGGCGTCGGCTGTAAGTAACGCCCATAAGTGCTGTACACTCTTCTAGACCTGAGCTTTGGCTACACCACGTGACTCTAGCCTCACCTACCTAACCTGGACTGCCTCTGACCATTCAACAACTCATATTTTGTAAGCCCTGTGTGAAATTGACATGCAGTATGTTTATTACGGTTTAAAAATTTTGATCTAACCGATATGACTTGTGATTTATTCTACCAAAAGCCTATTTTACTAATCATTTTAATGTGTTCGTCATTTAAACCAGTGTTTAGCTTAAACCTGCGTTAGGAGTATATAAAATGTTTCCCATCACTTGCATGCAATGAAAACATGCTCAGGCCAGTAAAAATGTTCCGTTTCCATCCAAGAAATAAAATTATCGCAGCACTGAATCTGTTTCAACCACCACTTTCACATCTAATTTCAGCAGGGTAAATCCCATCCTCCCAAGCTAGTGTCAGAGCTTTGTTAGCTGCCCTCATTGCGGCACTTTCCTCACTTGATCAGATAAACAAGACTTGCTGGTCTGCTGAGTGACTGCCGTGAAGCCAAATATCCTGGAAGTTCACGGGAAGGTTGGAAATTGTTTTCTGGTGCTGTACTGGTCTCTTCTTCCTTATCTGGGTAGACAAAAACTGTTATTGTTTCTTTATTGTTATTCAACCATACTTAAAAATGAATGGTTAAATGACAGTTGACTGTCTCTTCAAAATGTGAATCACTACACCATTCCTGTCACTTCTAGGGCTTGGGCTAGGTGGGTAACAACCCGAAGAAATTATGACGTCTGGCTTACAGGTCCTAAAGACCCGAGCGCATATTGCATGCGCTGTTAATGTGAATATGCCTGCACATTGCAGCAACGAGACTACAATGGTCAAACCAAGTGGAAACTCCAATGCACTTGCCTCGATAGGTTACTCTTAACAATGCTACAATGAGAAATTCAAGACAACATAAGACCTCAGAAGCGTTTTCTGAAAAGCAGACGACTAAAGGGTCTGCAGTTCCTTTGTTTCCAAAGGTAACCTGGCCTCCCTATGCAATTTTTGTATACTGTGGGTGCACTGTGAATGTGGAAGAAAGGTGCGGAAACCATATCGGCACTTCATCGGTAACCACAAACAGGAATTGACACCCGACTTGTAAAGCGTTGTGGACTTCACTGAGTTTCATGGACACTTTGGGTAGACCACCCACATAAGGAGCACCATTGATCTCTGCTGCTGATGCTCAGAATGCATCACCACTCCCCCAAGTCCTAGCCATGAGAAAATTCCCTTAATATACGAATAAGTCTCCAAAAGCCATGGGCAGTCAGACAAATGGTGAGGCAGTCACCTGGAAAGATGCCCCATTCTCCAAAACAATGAGGGGTGTTTTGCGACTGGCGGCTGGGCTACTTGTGGAGACCACGCTCACTACGAACAGAAATAGAAATGGCGGTCACTTCAAACAGCCCCTGGCCATCCGGCCAATTTCTGTTTGCAGTCTACCTTGTCCCAACCACTTTATACAGATCGGCTAACCATGGCTAAATTCAACTGCAAGGAGCAATTGAATACGATGCTCCAACAGTGGTACGAGACCAAGGACCAAGTTAGCGGACGAACCGACCTCGAGCCCTAAAGGAGCGAAGAACTGAGGTTTTAACGATAGAAGAGAAGGGCCAGGCAACAGATCTTCTATTGAGGAAAGCAAAAGATATATATTTTTATGTACATTATTCTTCGTTACCATTAGCAGAGCAACAGTGTTTTCTGCTCGGTTGTTTTCTCGCTATCATCTCTCTGTGGCCGTTTCTTTGAAAGTCAGAACATATATCTGAGAAACATATCCGCCCACTTAAATTCTGCTGTTTTGGTTGTTGATTTAGTCTTTGTTCTTGTTGCTTTCTCATGATCAATATTTGGAACGTGAACATTGACGTAAATTGCTGCCTACCAATTTGGCTAGCAGACAGTTCTCACCACAAGGTTGCAATGCGTCCCCATGCTTCATTTACGCTTGGGTGGGGTAACACCAAGGAAGACAGACGATGTCGTCCAAGTATCCTAAAGCAACCTGAGGGAAAAGTGAAAAAAGTGGCTTCATCAGAACAGGTCAACTGGTTCAAATATTAACTCCTTTGCCAGCGGCCTCCTCATTAACCACCCTACTACGAGGCGAAGTATTGCAACTCATTGTTAAACGTCCATCCAGTGGTGTATTATGCATACCAATATTTTATGCCATTTAGCAGCTACCAAGGACGTTCTTCACTTCCTGAAATAGCTTTTAACCACATGGCAGCATGGGACTCACCCAAATATACGCTATCCACTGACTGACCACAACCATCAGCAAAAAACAGAACGAAGGTGGGCCGGTACTCAACCTCGATGGTGAACGTGGTGAAAAGTTTACGATTTAACACTTTTACGAACTTGTTGTGGTTGCTTGTACGATAATCAAACAATTTAAACCTTTGAAAAAGTATTAAGTTTTGATACTTCACGATTGTAATTTGTAGCATAACTGATCGTTCCTGTAAAATTGGCATTCACTACTTGTAATTTTGACCCGTTTATGCGAAATATAAATTCTTATCAGTTGTCTATATTGCATTGTGAGTGGGATGAGAGGGAAATTTTTTGAGCTCAGGAACCTTGCTAATCCCAGCTATTAGTGATGAGAAAGTCCGTATAAGGTACATGATTCTGGTCAGACGAGACAGGGATCAAAGTGAAGTGAGAGAAGTTGACGCATACGCAGACGAGCAGCTTAAATGAGTGTGAGCGATGGACTCACTAATAACTGAACTCTCAAACTCGATACGGGACTGGGGAAGTTGCAGAAACTCACATCTAGAAAGACCGTGGGTTGTGATGACATTCGTCTTCTGTTCTGAAGCCCTCTGCAGTCTCTTGTATGACCTGTTCTAGCACACCTTTGCTTCAAAAAGTCTGCCAAAGGAGTGGAAGAAAGCCGTCCTTTCCCCCATCTTCAAGGCGAGGACTGGAAAAACAATTTTGGAGATGTTAGGAAGCCCGACTGATAATTACGTCGTGCAATACTTTGACAAGAACAACATGCTTTATGAAGCACAGCGTGTCTTCAATAAAGGTAGATTCTGTGCAGAGTCCATTATTGGTATGGAATGATCGAATATCATGCTGTGATATGAAGGCCCCAATTAATGTGGTCTTCCTCGATCTCGCAAAAAATTTGGCAGTGTTCAGCACAACGATATCCGACACTGCAGATAAAACCATTGTATAAACAGCTAAAATTTCTTAAACGTTTAGTGTAATACATAGAAAAGAAGATTCATTCTCGTTTTCCCATTAGAGGCAAATATTGAAAATTGTGACTACCTAAGGTGTTACTTTGCGCCAACATAAATGAATTTCATTTGGCACCTATTCTAAATCTGCGAGTACAAGGTCTTCTCAAGGTCTTCTCTGGTTATTCGTTCTTCTTGGATTACGGAAAATTTATTCAGAATTAAAACGCATTGTAAATGGCCTACACTGCAGTCGTTGTTGAAGTTTTATAATGACTTAGGTTTCTATACTTAATTACCACCTGAAAAATTATACATGCGCTTATTTGTAGTCATACAGTATAGCGGTTTTATGTCTCATTTCAAGTTACCTTTTAGTTTCGTTTTCACTGCTAAAAAGTTGGACGTTCTATTGCACATGTGTCGAATCATTTAAATCGTAAATGGAAAGCACTGTCAACGTACCTCCTGACTCAACTAACGATAAACTAGAAAATGTGACTCCCAAAACACCTGACAAAACATGTACTGATTTACATCATAATAATAACTCCCTTCCGACGTCATCTACTGTTTGCAAATCAAGTACGTACCATGGAGTTTATTTACCCGATGACGATGGATCCATCCTTACTCCGGAACATGCCTTTGTACAGTATCAAACCCGGTCCGAAGATCAAGCTTGCCAAATTTGTGGTCAACCAGCAGTTGGTTTCCATCATCGTGCTTACGTATGTGAAGCCTGCAAGGTAAGCATTTCGTATACTAACAAAATAATTCATAGTATCTATATTATTTACGACAACTGTCTTTAATACACTAAAATAGTTGTAAATGTAATATAATCCTGTGTTTTTAGATAAAGGCTGTCATGATGTTCTTTTTTACTATGTCTGGTATGTGTTTGGCTGTATTTAAATGTAATGTAATTCCAAAGGAATTATTCACTGGTAAAGTTTGCTAACTTTAGAACATCGTGTAGTCAGCTGTACTAACAGCACATACACCTTATCTGCTTTTTCACCACATGGTTCTGAATGACTGTCCACATAAACTAGTTCCCCGTACCGTTGAAAATGAATCTTCCCTACTACATTTACTGAGTCTATTAATTTCCTTACCATTTTAATTTAACGTAATCAGCTGGATTTCTAATGACACCCAAAAGTGTTAAATATTTGGGTTATTGTAACTTGGTTTTAATAAGTGTAACTTAACGTAAGCATCATCAAAATTTGTGCAGAATTGCATCAGTCCTATCTGTTGCAGGTTTCAATTCCACATCGTAAAGTGGAGAAGAATGCAGTGGGCGATCATATATTAAAAAGGAAAATAATAGTGAAAACAAGTAAACACTGCATCAGGGTTCTGGCAATGAGTCGAGACATATATCCTACTGTGAATGATTCAGACATGATGTAGACCATATACAGACAATGTACACCTCCCTTGTTGGATCGAAACTATAGTCAAATACTTTGTAAATTGGTTCACTTTTTGTCTGACCACCCCTTATCGCTATGCAACCTATTCTTAATATAGCCGACATTCCTTGTCATGGGGAGCGTACTCCGTGCTCAACACTACAGTTAACCTCAGTACTAATTTTATTTATCCTTCTTATATGAGCTATTGAACATGGTCATATTTTTCATTTGGTCCACCTGCAGCAGTCATAGCCATTAGCTGTTGCACTGAATTTGCTCGCTTTATTGGATAGTCAGATAGCATGCCTGTGGCAAAGGTGACGCTAATTAACGTGTCAAATTCTGTGTCAGTCAGTTGGCTTTCGGTAAAAACAAAAGCCCTAAAAAATTGTTCTCGAGTGCAATATTCTCGCACATGCCATTTTATATTCCATAAGTTTTTGTTAGTGCGTTCACACTTATATAAGTGTTTTTGGCGGTAACTATTGCCTAGTTTTTAAACCACCGCGCCAAATGACTTGTCTCTCTTCGCATTAAAACTAACCTCTAGTTTCAAAGGACATAAAACTGAACTCTAAACTTCCTGCTGCGTACACTTAAAGCATATTTTCTGAATCTTATTTTGTAAAGGGCCATTTATATAAATAGGGGAAATCTTGAGTATTGGTAACCAGACACTAGCTCTCTAGATTTAGCGAAAATCGCTATCCGCATGTGTCTGACTGTGCTAAACATCGGAAGATATTATCGTGTTCCATCATATTCACTTCACTTCTTCATTCCTTCAATCTAATGAGAAGTGTCATTCCTTGTTTCACTAACCACTAGCCGTTTGAACTTAGAAAAATATGCTGCAGACGATATGTACGCTTTCGTTTTCACTAGATGACACAACTAAGTTACAACATGAAACTCCTCCGATTTCGATATTTAGCCCAGTCGTTGGAACCTTAAGTGTCAATCTACCAGTGTTCATGTTTTAAAATTACTTAAAAAACAAAAACTTAACGAACATTCCTTGATGACTAATTGAGATTCCAGTGATATATATCTGTCCAATGATGTTCAATTTGCAAATGTCAACCTCTATCCTGCTATCTGTAGCTTACATATCCTACGTTACAAAAGTATTTGTTTACTTGTTTTGTAAGACATCTGATCAGCATCACCACACAACTGCTTTACAGCAGCAGCTGCATGTTGAGCGCTGTTGCTAGAACTCAGTTAGCCAGAGTATATTTCTCATATAACGAATTGCGAACCAATCCAACTGTCTAGACCGAAGTGGTCGGAGCGGTACCCAAGTCACGGACCCATTGACTAAAAGTCAAGTAATTACCCACAAAAGACTTAGTTTGTATTGGCCTGTGGTACAGTGACACTGACAAGGTTTATTGTCGACTGACTTTTAAATGATAAGTAAACGGAATAAGGGGTAAAAAGTGTGTCTGTCATCAACAAGTGAATTCGCAAAAATGCACTCTCTACACGACTTGGTTGCATACAGTAACTGACTGCATATTCTAGATAAAATAAAATATCTGCTTCGATCCGTTGAATAAAAACGGGCAAATCAGTCATTAAACTATTACGTGGAGGATCTCCTTTGTGGGAAAACATATTAATACGGTTGAGATATTTAGCAAATGATATTTTAAGTAGTCGAAAGAAGACATACAGACTGTCAATGGTGTTTTCAAATAAATTTTTCGTTTCTTAGCTGGATCTGGTGTAATAGAATTATTTTTCTCCATCCTTCCTGTCACTCGAGTCATTTCGTCAATGACTCAGATGCACTCACTCTCTCTGACCTGTATCCACTAGACTCTATTGTTTTTCCATGTTATTATCCTATCTTCCGTAAATATCTGTTTATTATCTATCCTTTGAATCTTTTTCTCCCCTTTCTGTTTGCTTATGTGTGGTGTATGAAGTGCGTCAACTCGAACTGCTGCACTTTTGTGCAAAGTTCTATGTTACAACCTATTAGTCAGTCAGGCAATCATATTAATTTGTTAATAAGGTAGCATTTCGCTTGTTTGGCGATCAGGTATGATTATTCTGTTATGATGGTTTATTTAATTAAATTTTCTAGCTGTCTAGATGCAAACGAACAGCTAAATTTCATGTGAACTTCCAATGATTAATCTCAACAAAAGGCTTCAATCTCGATTTAACCATTTATCAACTTTTATTCAAGCATATTAAAGCACATTTGCTTTTGTATATTTGCTTGTCCATTCTTTTTTGTCATTCCATAGTTTGTTTTATTGTGTAACGTCCATTTACCACCTTGCTTTTAATGTACGCTTTTATGTACATTTCTATAATTTAACTTTTTTTAACTTCTTTCCTGACGTTTGTTTGCGTCTTTTGTCTTCGTAATTGTTCGAAGAAGAAAGGTGATCAATAATGATACGTCCCTCAACTTTTTTTGAGGTGTTTTTGTTTTTAATTTAGGACTTAGTGTTTATTTGTATTCACCTTTAATCGTTGTGTATTAGTTAGGGATCGACTGATTGATTGATTGACTTTAAAGTAGATGTCCGCATTCATTGATATCACTTACAGAAAACGACTGAGATTTATGACATCCTAGTTGAGACTTCTCAGCACTCCTCACCCACAGCTCTTCAATTGGGATTAAACACAGAAATGTTTTTGGTCAGAGGAGAATACTTAGGTCATGTTTACGCTTTCATTATAAGTGGAAGGAATATGTCAAAATTTAATGGTCAGTTTCAAGTAATGAATTATATCATTATGATTATTTTTGTAATTACGCTTACGGCATTTATTCGATCACTGAGTCATTAGTAATTTCTCGCCTATGACTGACCTACTCTGAAACCTGAAACTTTATTTCTGACAAAAGTTACAGGTTTCAGTTCTGTTAAAACATTCCCGATTATGTTAGCGGTCAGTCACTATAGCAATAATCCGTCTACCTAACCCACATTAAGTTGATGAATGCAGGATATCTGGTAAGGAGAATAAATTGTTTTCTAAAGTTTTGTAGCCTCATCGACTGTGAAATGGTATTATGACATGCTAAATTACCATCTACTTCGGTAAATGTTATATCTTCATTGAAGTGGAATATGGTTAGAAGAAAGCTATAACCACCATATACTGTACGATCTTAGTAAATGGAACTCAACATATAGCTTAAATTGAGTCTAGATGAAGTTGATCAGTTTCGCACCGTTGCAGTCACCCCTTCTACTCATTTTAATTCTGATATTTTATACATCCTCATCCGTGTATCCTCCCATTTTTTGTTCGCCTTTTGAAAACTACTAATCCTGCTGTACAACACAGGCTTTAACCCTCTATCACCACTCATTCCTACATTACTACTATTTTCGTTCAGATTATCTGTCTATTTTTCTTTCCCTTGATATGTTTTATGAATATTTTGCTTTCTGTTCAACTATTTTTAGTATTCTGCCTTGATGACCTCTGCTTCAGCATGCGTATATGAAGTGTTCTAACTTCAGTCGATGCGCGTTGTGTTCTTCTTGTCAGTGATAAAAATGTCCAGAATTTTTTTTGGTGGGAGGTGGGGGTCCTTGGTTTTTTGCTTTGTAAAAGAACGATTTCATAATGCAGAGTGTTGGATTAATTACCTACCAACTGTATTCAACTTATAAGAATATTCTTGTCTTTTCTGATGTATGCTTTTTGATTTTATCAATAAAAGAGTAATTATCTACACTTAATCTCATTCCTTAAATTTTATCGAAGTTCATACCTTCAAAAAAAATGCAAAATTTAATGATTCCTTAGTTGTTGTTTGTTTTTCTTTAGACTGAAAATAATTTAATTACTTTCTTTTTATTCTGTGAACTAGGCGTTAAAAAGATTAGGATATGCATTACAACAGAAAGAAACTGATGCTCTGAGGTTGAAGTTTCGAACTGTATTCAGCATTTTAATAATGCATTGTGCTCATAGTATCAATCGAAGGTGAAATGATAGCAGAAGATACTGATTTTTAGATTGTATTGTTTTCGAAATAAGTGTAGGTAATGATTACTCTAGTGAAAAAAAACAACTTCTTGACAAAATCTGAATGTCAATTACCTGCTTATTAGTGCCCGTGAGATGCATGTCTTGATGAGAAGTCACGGTTAGTCATGTCAGATGCCATTATTTGGCAGTGGGGCTGCATTTTGATGTGCACGGGTCATATTGAATTCTGACCCAGTAGCTGACTGGTCAGTTGACTGGCTTCCTAACTAAGTGGTTCAGCGTTCAATCTCTAATAGAGTCATGCGTGTGTACTATTGAAGAGAGTGGCAAATGAGGACGGTAACTGT